TCCCCTTCTTGCAAAATAGCGGCTCCCATTGCCACATCCGAGGCATCAGTCTGGACAATGAATTTTTTAGTTTCATCAGGGCGCGCCAGCACGGGCTCAGACGTGAACATACGTTTAAGTTTCTCAAAAGCCTCCGCGCAAGCAGGGGACCATTTAAGTGGGGCGCCTGGTTTGGTAGCATCAAACCCCTTTCCCTTGGTTTTTAACAAATCGGTTAGAGGAAGGGCAATTTGAGCGAAATTTTGGATGAAATTTCTGTAAAAATTGGCGAATCCGAGGAACATTTGCAATTGTTTGCGGGTTCTGGGGGGTTCCCATTCAAGCACAGCCTGTATTTTAGCAGGGTCCATTTCCACCTTCCCCCCGGAGATGCGATAACCCAAAAAGTCAATGCAGGGCTTGTGGAATTCACATTTAGACAGTTTGGCGAACAGGTTGTGCTCATAAAGCCTCTTAAGGACCTGGCGCACCAATTTAATATGCGACGGTAGGTCCTGGGAATACAGCAACACATCATCAAGGTAAAGAACCACCCCTTTGAACAAAAATTCATGTAGGACCTCATTGATTAAGTTCATGAAGACCCCCGGAGCCCCTTGAAGCCCGAAGGGCATAACGAGGTATTCAAACTGCCCCAAGGGGGTATTAAACGCAGTCTTACTTTCGTCCCCCTCCCTAATGCGCACTCGGAAATATGCATCCCGTAGGTCAAGTTTCGAGAAGATTTTGCCTTTGGTGGCCTCTGCTACCAAGTCCTTGATAAGGGGGAGGGGGTAGGCATTGGACAAAGAAACAGCGTTCAAACCCCTATAATCCGTGCACAATCTGAGCCCCCCGTCTTTCTTCTTTCGGAAGAGTACCGGCGCGGCGAAAGGGGAGGAAGCCGGGCGAATGAAACCGCGGGCCAAGTTTTTATCAATAAAATTCCGCAGTTCAACTTTCTCAGCCGGCCCCATCGCATAGATTTTACCTTTAGGCAATTTACAATCAGGCAAGAGTTCAATAGCACAGTCAGTAGAGCGATGGGGGGGCAGTTCGTTAGCTTCTTCTTCGCCAAAAACTTTCGCCAAGTCTCTATACTCTCGAGGCAAAGACGCTAACTCTTCCGGCTTCAAAGTGCCGCAGGGGAACTGCGCGGCAGGCCGGTCCCCCCACGAATCCAACCAGCAGTGATCTACACATTTTGGCGACACGAATTTGACAACCCCTTCTTCCCACAAGATGTAAGGGTCATGGGTAAATAGCCAGGGACTCCCCAGTACCAAATCAAACTGCGACTTAGGGGTAACAATGAAGGTCCTGGATTCCCAATGATCGCCAGCCCCCAACCGCAAAGCCATAGTCTCATGCGTACAAGGTTCCATGGGCGCCCCATCCATTTGGGTAAAAATGATGGGAGATTTCAAGGGGGTTATCCCCGCTTCCAGTGTCAATAACACTCTAGGGCTGATGAGATCCCTCCCACACCCAGAATCAATCAACGCTCTCACCCTGACGTGGGTACCCAGGAGCGGATTCATTAAAGAAACAGTCACGAAAAACAGGGAAGGGGTTTCTCTCACCACCTTGGGCGCAGTGCTGGAATGGCCGTGTCGTTTTGCGCCTCTCACAACAGGCCGTTGTCGTTTTCCGCCGGTTCAACCTCCACGTCCTCTTCTGACTCGGCAGCAAGCGGCTCGGTTCCTTCCGGACCTTGGGCCGCCTGAAGAGCTTTGGAGAATCGCGGTTTGGCCATCCCCTTCTTTCCCGGTAGTGGCGTCTTAGGCGTCGGAGTCGGCTGCTTGTCTTTTGCTTGACGGCTGCCACAATCCACAGCGAAATGCCCCTTCTCCCCGCACTTTAGACAGAGCCCCATCTTCATGCGTAGTTCTCGAGCCGATTCCGACAGGCGTTGTGTCTTGGGTCTGGAGGCGCTGGCAGTGACGGGTCTGTTGGTCGTAGCAGCCAGGTCGAGCTTGATGGTGTTTAGCCGATCCTCTGCATTTTCAGCTTCCTGGGTCCAAGCCATCAGGGAGATAGGATTAACAGTCTTCAAAACCGTTTCTCGGATGTCCGCGTTGAGTCCCAATCGATACATTTCAGCCAAAATATGATCAGGGTAGTCTCGGAGCTTTGCTGCCTGCTTGTGGAATTCCAGTGTGTATTCGCGAACCGACTTCTTGTTCTGACGATAGGTGCGGAGAAATGCTTTGGCCCTTTGGCTCGCGTTGACATCCTCAAACCGAGCCCGCAGCGCCCACATGAATGCTCGCAAATTCAAAAGTTCCGGACCGCGGTCATTGTGCAGTCCCACATACCATGTGGCGGCGTCTCCTTTCAGTCTCGCCGAGATGACATCAATGAGAGCAGCTTCATTTCGGAAGAGGTGTCGGCTCTCTTCTACGAATTTGTGCACCCTCACCGTGAAGAAGGCGAGTTCCTCTGGGTTGCCGTCAAAGGTAGCCTCCAGTAAATCCTTGGGTCTGGGCCGTGGAGTCCTTACCAACGGTCCCAGCTGACCCGGAACTCCCCTGAGAGGGAGACCCGGAGCAACCGGTGGTCCCGCTGGCACTGGCCTCATCGGTGGCGGCAGACCCGGTCCTGGCGGACCCCCCGGCATCGGCTGTTGCGCAGGCCCTACTTGCTGCGGAGGTCCGGCCGGTGGCTGGGCAGGCACCTGCGGCGCGGGAACTCCCGGTGCTGGGGCAACTTGCTGCTGCGCGGCGTGTGCATCAAGAAAATTAGCCATTCTAATGTCCATCATCCCCGGCAGAGCTTCCATTACATCCTGGAATGCCCTCAACAAGTCCCTCACCGAGTATTCCAGTTCCTCCAGTCGTTCCCCGGTGGTTTCCTCAGGGATCGGTTCTCGACGTTGATAGTCCGGGGGTGGGTCATAGTCTTCTTCCGTTTGGAAGCCCCCGGCTCCCTCCGAATCCTCTACGTGGCCTCGGGGCCCCGATGGCTCGAACATCCACTCCTCGAGGTCTTGCTTGGAACTCCCCTTCTCCGAGGTAGCCCCCGGCTCTGGGAACAATCCCTTGTCAAACAGACTTTCACGTAATCCGCTCCCTCGACGGGAGTACACCTCTCGGGTGCCCTGAGTGTTGTACATAGTCCAGTCATCCTGCTGTTGAGTCTTCCGCGGACCCCAGTGCGAAGGGGTCGGAGGCGGCCAAGACAGATGTGCAGGCCGGCGGGGAATCGTTCCCCCCACGGCACCCTCCAGCGAGGCTGCAGTCACCAAAGGAGCGGAGGTGTGTGGGATCGATCCTGAATCCCCCTCCGTTTTCGGTAGGTCTCCCTCAGCTCCGCTCATGATCTTGCCAGAATCGGAACGATAGGAGAAAGGGAGTTCTAACAATATGTTGGATCCCCAAGCATCGAGAATAAATCCACGTTTTCAAGAAAAGCAAAATTTATTTCAAAGCGTTGAAGACATACTCAAACACGTTCTTTGTTAGAACTGGGGATACACAGGTAGGGCGAGCATAATAAAGGAAATTCAAACAGACACATATCCAATGAATACTATTCCCGCTGGCGGGCTAATGAAACGGTTGCGCGTCCCGTCCATGGGAACCAGGCAGAACATCAGACAAAACACAGGTGCAGTTCTCATGAGATAGCAATAGGCAAGCATTACAGCATCGTCTCCCCCACACATCCACCAGTAGTTATCTTATGCATTCCAGCACAGAAGCAGGATAGTAGAAACAAACCGGGTGCAACAGGGTAAAGATATGTACACAGAGGTCACAGAAAACAGAATGGCAGCTTGCTGACAGCAGCCGCATACCATATTTCTGAGTCACCTACATTTCTTCCCATAAAGAACAATGCCCATAAGTAATTCCCCTTATTTACCATCATTGGTAATCTGCTCTATTTTGTTAGGGCAATTTAGGCAACCTTTCTATATTCACAAGAATGTAAGCAATATGGAGAAGATAACATTTTTCTATAACCTTACTGCTTGTGGAACTTTGTATAAATATACACAAAACACATCTGGAGAGTTAAGTGGTAGAATGCTCTACATAAATAGGGGCTCATTTGATTAAATGCTGCGGCACTTTAACCCCAACAAATGTGGTGTGGCATAATCTGTAGGCGACAGAATTGTGCCGTGCTAGTGAGATGGAACCTACAAAAGTAATCCCCCCCCCTCCCCCAAGATGATCTTCTTGAGCTCAAGAGATGAGAGTAAGCTCTGGGTTTCATGTCACTTATGTGAGACTGGCTTATATTAAATTTCAAAAAGAGGTAGCTAAACTTAGAAAATGTCTCTTTGAAAAATGTCAAATTTAACTCACCAAGGGACTTTTTAATCTCTTTGGCTTTTATGCTTAGAACAACTTGCGGAGTTACGGCAGGAATTTATCCGTCAAGAGGACCAGCTTCATGAATACAAGAACAACAATACGCAGCTCGTTAAAAGGCTGGAGTATGAAAGGTATTGAGATTTGAGTGCAGCAGCGCTTCCTAAAGCTCTGAGCTGATGCTGTAACACGGACCGGTCGTGGTTTTCTGTACCCTTTCAGGGTCTCCTTTGAGATCAAAGCAGGTTCTCATTTCCATTCCCCCCCCCTGCTTTTTTGTCTAAAGGAAACGAGTGTCAAATTTTAACACAAGTCCTAGTAGTTAAGGCCTATATTGTGTCGCCACTAAGACCAGGCAGAATGATTTCTCATGTTGGGCTAGCACGGATGGGTGGGATGGGGTGGGGTGGAGGCATGTCATCCAGCTTCTGTTGACCCTTCCTTGAGATAGCCAAGGAGGATTTCCCTGGGAGAGGCCGGAAGCTGTACAAGCGTGGCTTCATGGTCTAACCATACCATCGGTCACCGGGAATGGAGTGCTTTGCGATGTCCATCCTCCATCCTGACCCCATCAAGGCACAATGAATAACTGAGCTGAACAGGGAGAGGTTGGCGCTGAACATCCTTGAGGAATTGTTTTGCTTCTGCAAGGAGGTTTCTCTAATGGAGAACTGCAGTCTAGGTAGACAAGGAATTTCAGAGCGTGTGCTTTCCATGCAGAGGTTTTCAAGTTCAGTCTTCAGTGTCTCCCATTCTGCTTAGCAGAGAACCACGAAAGCTCTAGATGGGCAGAAGGCAGCTTCATATGTTCAGCGCCTCCCAGGAAGAAGAAAATAAGCTTGTTGTTGCAGAAGTCTAACTTCCGGCACAGATTCTGCAAACAGTTTGGTGTCGTGGTTAGGAGCACGGACTCTCTCATCTGGGAGAACTGGGTTTGATTCCCCACTCTTCCACATGCTGCTGCCAGGTGACCTTGGGTCAGTCACAAGTTCTCTCAGAGTTGTTCTGTCATGAGCAGTTCTCAAAAGAGCTCTCTCAGCCCCACCCACCTCACAGGGTGTCTGTTGTGGAGAGGGGAAGGGAAAGGAGATTGTAAGCCGCTCTGAGATTCTTAAGTGAAGGGTGGGGTATAAATCTAATCTCCTCCTCCTCCTCTTCTGTAGCAATTAACAGTAACATGTATATAAATCTTTCATCTGAGAAACTTTTGAAACAAATGAGCACTTGCCTGTGTGCTGTTATTAGTGTCTAGGACTGTGCAGGCCCAGGCTCAAATCCCCACTTAGCCATGAAGATCACTGTTACAGCGTTGGGTCAGTCTGTCACATTCAGCCTTACCTTCCTCACAGGGTAAAAGGAGGAAGGATGCAACTCTGTACTCCTTGGCTGAAGGACAGAGTGGAAAAAGTAACAGACAAATCAGTTATCCGTCTTTGTGCTTCAGTTTTCAGTGTGGACAGCAGATCAGAGAACTGAGGTTGCAGCATGAAGAGAATATGAAAAAATTGGAGGACCACATTCTACAAGACCAGAAGGTACAGTTATCTAAAATGTTGGTTGCTGAAATTAAACTTGATGACGCTTCGTATTAGTCAGTGTGGATAAAGTGGCTGACCTGTGTCCCTGAGACCCAGTGAGACAGAGGAGAAGTGGATTTCTCTGTGTTGTGCCCACCAGATTGCTGTGTGTAGAATCAGCGAAGGCTTGGTGGTTGGAGAGAGGGAATGTCTGTGGTCTTACCAAACTCCCATCGCCCTCTCCAGGGGCTTGGTCAGTCATAGTGCCAATTTCAAGCGTGCCCGTCTCATGCTGGGTGTGTGTGTGTGTGAGCCAGACTAGGAATTCTGTGTTCTCCCAGCTGCTTATCCGTCTCCATCCTTGAGCTGTTGAAGGTGATCTTGGATGGGGTGTCAGCTGTAGCAGCTCTGGCCTGGCTTGTCACTGAGACAACCATAGGGCCATTTCCAAAACATCTTGGATCCCATGCATTTGGTGGTCATAGGTGTTCGATATGAATAACTTGTATTGATCGGAAGCAAAACAGGGGAAATTTCTGACGTTACTTTGTCAGGGTGCGTGTTTAGGGCTTTGGGTGCTCAGAGCCTCTGCAGGTGTGGGGGATCAGATGAGCTGGTCAGCTCCCTATGTTTGCTGGATCCAGGTGGATTCCTGGCAGCTGCCTGCAAAGTGAATCATGCCTGGAAACCGAACTGCTGCTTCTTACCTTTAATGCCCTGGTGGCTTGGGACTAGAAGGTTGTTGTAGTGGCTCGAAGGACAGCCTTCGCTGCTGTCAGTTAATTTCCCAGTTAAGATCAGCATTTAACAGTTTGCTCTTCTGCGGCTCTGCCTTTCGGAAATAAGGTGGATGATGATCAGAGATGGGGCTCTTTCACTGATGGCACCTTGGAACGCTCTCTCCTATTTTTATTGGTCTTGGGTTTTGTTAATATTTGTGGGTAGCGCTGCTGGTTTATTGATGAAATTGCTCTTTTAACACATTTGATTTAATGCATAGCTTGTCTTGAATATGTTCCGTGCTTTGTTCTCTGCTATTTTACCTTGCGGTTTTGTTAATCTTTTTATCAGCGTTAGGATTTTTTGTTGATTTATATTGTAAGCTTTGGCCGTATCTTGCGGAGAAACGGCAAACTGATGTTCCGAATAAGGAGCTGCAGGAGAAGGACTTAAGAGAAGGGTCAGTAGTTACTCCATCTAAGAATAGACCCACAACGGCAGTGGCTGCTCCCCCTCCCCCCCGGCCTTACACTGCACAGTCCTAAGGTGATGAGGGTTATTTTTATTTGCAGAATGGTTTTCCATACTCTTGATAAAAGGACATTGAAACACAAAGGCTATACAGCTTAGTTAACAAATCTTGCTCCCCTCTGAACTTTGAGATTCCTCTCACGGTAGGCTGAATGGCCCCATACCTATCTGATATACAAGCACCACAACAGCACAGAGCTTTTTCTTTAGCAAGATTCAGTGCAATACCATCAGCAATCTTGCATGGGAGATATAATAATATAGTATATACGGCTAGACTTTGCCGTTGTAACTCTGGATGTATTGAGACAGTTTCACATATCTGTTTGCATTGTCAATTTTATGTAGATATACGTTTTAGATATTTAAACCCTATCTTAGCCAACATGATGGACCTTCCTGATGCTTTAAAAGTGCACCGTCTTCTGAATGACTCCGCTCCTGAAATATCAGTGAAGGTAGCCATGTTTTTACAATCAGCTATAAAGCTAAGACAGGAAAAACTAACAAAATGAGCAACACTTAGTAACGAATTGTTTTATGTAAGATTATGCAATATTATGTAGTTTGGTTTTATATGTATGGATTTATATGGTTTTATAGTAATCCTCTTTTAAGGTATTGTTTTATGCCAGTAAAGGCTAACTTTAGTGTAGTGGTTAAGTGCGCGGACTCTAATCTGGGAGAACCGGGTTTGATTCCCCACTCCTCCTCCACTTGCACCTGGCTGGATGACCTTGGGCAAAGCCATAATTCTGGCACAGCTGTTCTTGAAAAAAGCGCAGTTTCTGTCAGAGTTCTCTCAGCCCCACCTACCTCACGGGGTGTCTGTTGTGGGGAGGGGAAGGGAAAGGAATTTGTAAGCCGCTCTGAGACACCTTTGGGTAGTGAAGAGCGGAGTATAAATCCAATCTCTTCTCTCCTTCTTCTTCTTCTTCTACAAGGCATGATAAGAAAAGGGGATTCCAACTGGAAAATGGGAATGAGAGTATGATACAAGCTCAGCAGCCAGTGATTTTTAATGTAGGAGAGGCCCAGATATCCTGGAACTCGTCTGAAAAGTTTGCCAGATTTCAAAGGGAATGTATGTTTTCCTTTCCAAGGCTGTGCACAGGAGCCCGTCCAGCAAATACGTGGAAGCCGATCTGAGCAGTAACGCTGCAGTATTGAAGACCACGCAAGAGCTGGATGAAAGGAATGTCATGAAGAATGAAGAGCCTTCCGTAAACAATATCTCAGATGGCAAAGGTCTGTTGTCTGGCATGACTGTGTGGTAGGACACAGATACAAGTTAATAATTATGTCCCTGTTCGTTTATTGGCGGGGGAGGGGGCAAAGGGCCGCCTCAGTCACAAGGCACACCTAGCAAAGACCTGCAGAAGGTACCTCTGCAGTGGCACGTAGGAGTGCGTCTTATTTGGGCTTAGGACATTTCCATCAGAACGCGTCCAGCCCCTGCAACGACTGTGAAATCACTTCCACCGTCAGTGTAGTAAAGGGGGAAATCTCCTTTTGTTTTGGTAGAAAAAATAAAACCAGGAGATGACGCAGGCATGCCTGGGATAGAAGAGAACGACCCTGCTAAGGCCGAAGACAACCTCACTGGTTAGCAATTTTATATTTATTTCTAGAGCATAAAACCTATTAGATAATTTTCTAAAACTTTACAGTATTTTCCTTTGTTAATGCTCCACGTGAGTTGTGGAACATGGCGAAGGGAGTTCAAAAGACTGTCATGATAACTTTATTACGTTGACTCTACATGCATATTAAAATCAGTGTAATATTATTTCCCAGTATTCATGTAGTTTTAGTTGCGAGCTTGTTGAAGGTGTGGAATGAGCTCCTCTGTGTCCTTGCTTAGAGACGATAACTGTACAGCCTTGTTAAAAGTTACGGATTTCTTATATTGAAGCTGCAAACCCTTATAAGAACACAAGAGAAGCCAGTGTTGGATCAGGCCAGTGGCCCATCCAGTCCAACACTCTGTGTCACACAGTGGCCAGAATACCAGGTGCCACCAGCAGTGGGCCCAGGACACTAGAAGCCCTCCCACTGTTGCCCCCCCCCCCCAAGCACCAAGAATGCAGAGCATCACCTGCCCCAGACTGCGAGTTCCTATAAGAACAGAAGAGAAGCCAATGTTGGATCAGGCCAGTGGCCCACCCAGTCCAACACTCTGTGTCACACAGTGGCCACAAAGACTAGCTGCAATCAGGAGGTCCAGCAGTGGGGCTTGCCCCCCTCCCCCAAGCACCAAGAAGACAGAGCATCCCTTGCCCCAGACTGAGAGTTCCTATAAGAACATAAGAGACGCCAATGTTGGATCAGGCCAATGGCCCATCCAGCCCAACACTCTGTGTCACACAGGGGCCAAAAAGACCAGGGGCCCTCAGGAGGTCCACCAGTGGGGCCCAGGGCACTAGAAGCCCTCCCACTCTTGCCCCCCCCCCAACCACCAAGAAGACAGAGCATCCCTTGCCCCAGACTGAGAGTTCCTATCTATACCTTGTGGCTAATGGGCCACTGATGGACCTCTGCTCCAGATGTTTATCCAGTTCCCTCTTGAAGCTGTGCATGCTTGTAGCCGCCACCACCTCCTGGGGCAGTGAATTCCATGTGTTGAGTCAGGAAGACTTTCCCAGGGCTGAGTGGGTGTTGGTCTTAATTGCTGGGCTCCGCGTGGGATGTCTTGTATAGCTGGCTATAGTTTGAGTTGCTTTGCTTTAAAAGTAGAAGAATGTAACAGTGGAAAAGTTATGTAAGGGGTCCCTGTAAAGTTTTGGTAACCCTTTATATTTTGCTATAGTTTGTTATAAGGATGCTGCTCGTTGGGGAAATTAATTGGAATCTGTGGAAAGAGTTCAGAGTAGGAGATCTGGTGCTGTGTAAGAAACTCTCGTTCAGTGGGCTGCGTTGTATGTTTTGTAGGACCTTGAATCTGACAGCCTTATTTGGTGAAATTCTTCATAAGTAATGGAGGTGAATAGTATTATAAGGTGTTAGCTGATTTACGATCTATTCGTATGATCTTTATTTACAGGATTTATTTGCATAAGTTGTGTGGTATTATACTTGCTGTTTTGCTTAATAAAAGAGTTAGATTTTATTGAAAACCCTAATTAACCCTGAGTTTCTGCTTGGTTTTCTTGGGGCCCCAGTGGCTGCTTCCCCCCCAAAATACGCTGCTCTGTTCAGGGCCGAAACCTCTCAGAGGGCATCCGTCTTAGCATAGATCTCTTAGTGGCAGAGTTCTATGATCCTTTGTTCAGGTAGACACCTCAGCTTCCATTTAACCGAGCTCAGAGTAATCACCTAATTGGGTGTGAATAAAATCTTTTCCAAGGCAGCGTCCACGAAAAGGTGTGCTAAATACGGTTGCTGAATCTTAACATGGTGTGAAATGTGTGTGCTGTAGATGATATGCAGCGGGGGACTCCGATGTGGTGCCCCTGGGCACCTGCCGAGAGTTTTTACAAAGTGGGCGGGGGCCAGGTGGGGCTTTCTTACCCAGCAAGGCTTCTGATTGGCTTTGCAAATTCTTTAAAAGTTGTTTCAGCAGCAGCGGCCACCACAGCACAAGGATCTTCACTGTGTGTAATGAAATATTTTTAATCCATATATCCATTTAAAAAGGCATCCTGTTAAGCCAGGCGTCTGCCCCAAAATGCTGACGAGTCACTATTAAAGTTATGCAGAACCCGACATTTTTGGTTGGCTGGCTCCACCTCCTGGGACGGACATTTTGTGGGGGTGCTCCTCATCACCCAAAGGTGTCAGAATTCCAAAGGTGCCCGCAAGCGCCAAAAGGTTGGGGGAACCTGTGATAAATAGTTAGGTTTGATATGGAAAGACAGCAGAAGTGCTCCGGACAGTTAGTTATCCCTCCCCCCTTCTCTCTCTCTCTTTGTAATAATAATTTTTATTATTTTAAACAAAACATACAGAGAAACAAACAAACATACATGAGAGTAATAATAACAACATCATATCTCTTAAACTACCTCATACATATATATCTAATTGCCAATCTTTCAAACATGTAGCTAACTAATATCTTTACAAGCCTATGTTAAACACTACCTATTTTTTGACATTTGAATGCAGGCCAATGGCCCATCTAGTTCAACACTCTGTCACACAGTGGCCAAAAATACCAGATGCCGTCAGGAGGTCCAGCAGTGGGGCCAGGACACTAGAAGCCCTCCCAGTGTTGCCCCCTCCCAAAGCACCAAGAATACAGTGTATTACCTGCCCCAGCCTGTTAGCTCCTACTTCTATTTAAACATTGTCTAGGCATTCTACAATAGTCTTTTATAAGATACGTTTAGATATTAAGTAAATTTATACAATTCCCCAAATTTCATAGACATATTCTTTTCTCATTCTATCTGTTCTAATTGATTTAACGTCACCGGAAAAATTCTCTAGCCTACCTTTTAGATCAAACCGAATTCTTAATATCAGCCTTGCTTACATTTTTTAAAATACTTCTCCTCTTAATAAGAGCTGCTTGCACTTTTCTTCAACAAGGCACCCGCTCTTTGTGAGTTCTTGCAGATACTGCATTGGCAACATTTTTCAGGAGCGGAAGGCTGTGGACGTGGGTGGCAATCGAAAGAGGTACCACCGGAGCCGTATATATACCTACACCAGGCTAGGGTCAGTTACAAGAAGCCTAGGGAGATCAGTTCTCAGTCTCTGTGAACTGTGTCGTATGCATTTGCTTTAGAACTCGCCTGGCTGAGGGTTTTGGTTGATGAGTAGTTTGTAATAAAAACTTGTTTTGTTCAGCTTTGAAGAAGCCGCTTGTGCCAACATTTCAGAAGGAGCCACGGCAGGTCATCGTGAATCTTCCCACAGAACAACCTCATGCCTCCAATCTGGCTCAAGGTAAAAAGCTCCTGAATCGGTTGCGGTCCAGAAGAACAGGAATAGGGGGGGACATCTGGCCATCGTTTACTCCTCCTGCTTTAAGGCAAAGATAAGCAGACTTCCCTCTGTGGAGGGAGGAGCTCTCAGTTTTCCTCCCTGTATGCCCCAACCCAGGGCAAAGTTGATGCTCCGACACCACAGCTGGGCCGATCCAGTCACTGCTCTGGTTCCCTCTCCCCCCCCCCCCCCCACTCTGGGGGGGGGGGGGGAAAGGGGGGGGGGACAGCTCGGCTCCCTGGCATAAATTCTGTAAATTGGACCATTGCAGGTCGAGCTACTTAGTCAGCATCTCCAACTTTATCCTCAGAGTTCCCTTTACAGCCTTACGGTTTCAATCTATGCAAACAGCACTTTTGGCTGGCTGCTATTCACATACTCCAAAAGAGGACTGTCTCTGCTTATGTGGCCTGTCAGTGGTGGAGGACCTTCCTCACGACATGCTTTACTGTCCGTTATATAGTATCCCAAGAGAGACATTTCTACCAGGAATCCTATCGGCTATGGAAACATACAAAGAAACTGAGAAGATTACATCCCTGCTCTCAGATAATGATGCATATGTATCTTATAGGGTTTCTTTGTCTGCTTTAGCAGTGTCCAAAATTAGATCTAAGGGGCTGGTTACCTGATTAAATCTGTTTTAGCCTTTTTATTAGCACAGTTTGTAGTCAGTTTTAATCTGATGGTGGTAATTTTTATTATTGCTAATGGTGGTAATTTTTATTATTGCTATGGTGCCTTTTGTATTTTGTAATGGCCAATGACTTAATACAATACATTTACTTGTACTTGTACTTGTTAGATAGCTCTGTTCAGGAGCTGCGTTGCCAAAAGCAAGCAAATAAAAACCAAAACGAGAGAGCATGCCAGTAAGCGATTGCCTCCCTGGAGAGCAAGATGATCCCACGGCCAGCCGGAGAGGTGCCCCCCCAGCTCTAATTGTGTACGGGGGGGTAGATAGAAATAGAAGGGTCTGGGAGGAAACTATTTTTTTCCTGAGGATTAAAAAAAAATCCAGTGGAGACAATCTGGAAATTTTGGAAGCACTGCTGGGGTCGGTGGGTGGAGCTCCTGTGAAATATTTTCCGATTAGAAATGAGTGAAACGCTTAAGACCAGGTTTTGTTCACTCAAAATGTGTAGTATGAATATCTTTATGTAAGACATGGTATTCGCATGAATACTGTGGACATGCCTTGCATTTTCAAGGATATATATGTATTGGTTGTTCAAATGTGAGTAACTCTGTGCACAATCAATATGGTCTAATATATATGGTGGTGATAACCTGTTCAGGAGTTCACTGTTTTCAGTGCTATAATATTTACCTTGATATACAAATAAGCTGATGGTCCTGTTACGACTGTGAGACTGTTTGCAAATGACATTTTTGTTCACGACAAAGTGTTCTTGATTTTCAGCGTTTTCTGCCGCTTGGGTGGCAAAATCTAAGAGACACGTCCTAAGGTAGCAAAGTGTGCAGCAACCTGCAGCTCAGTGTCGAGGACTGGGTATTTCTTGCAGCTTAGCTTGATAAGATATTTATAATCTTAAAGTCCATACATGTGCCAGATAGTATATGCTAGCCAAGCTTTAAGTGCAGGTGATCAGCTGTGTTGGTCTGAAGCAGTAGAGCAAATTTAGAGTCCAGTGGCACCTTTAAGACCAACAAAGGTTTATTCAAGGTACGAGCTTTCATGTGCAAGGCACAGTTTTCAAATACATTGGAATGGTAGGTGAGGTTCAAACTTATAGACAGGGACTTAACAGCAAATTAACATGTAACATAGTAATGTTTAAGGTACGCAAAGTCAGAACTAAATAACAAGCTTAAGGTTATAAGGTCAGCAGTTGTAAAGCAATAAATATGTCAAAATTGCAGATAATAATAATAATACCTTTCGATTTATTGATCGCTCAATCCGGCAGAGCTGCTGGCTCTGAGCGATTTACAGTTACACGGTTTCACACAAGGGACTAACAATTTCATAGGGGTAAGGGAGGACAACGTATAATTCTTTAAATCGCACACATTTTGCAGCTGACGGGGATTTTTTGTTCAGCTGTAGGCTTCAGACGTGGCTTGATGACGTTGGTTCTTCCTGGGCTGCTTTGAATCGTAGCGCCGCACTGCCTAAAGTGTCTAAAGGTGTCTTTTCTAGTTGTGAGAAGCAAACGTCTGCGTTCTCTCCTCCAAGGCGTGGAGATAACTTTACAGCACTTCTTGAGGTGGATGCAGTGTCATGCCAGCAAAACATCCCAATATTCCTTGCATTACGTTCAGTATTATAATGTACTGTTCTGAAAATGAAATACACAAACGTACAGATGATTTATAGCCCCCTTGTTGAGAATACATATGTGAGGACTGAATGAGTTAGCATATGTAATGAGATAAGAAACCGATATCCCTTTTGAGTCCTGGGGTGGTTTTTGTTCCAGGTGTTGTAGTAACTTGTAATTCAGCAGTTTCCCATTCCGTTCCTGAAGTTCCTTTGTAATAAAACAGCTACTTTGAGGTCACCCATTGAATGTTCTGGAAGGCTGAAGTGTTCTCCTACAGATCTCTCAGTCTTGTGAGTCCCGATGTCAGATTTGTGTCCATTTTCCCTCTGGCATAGGGCTTGTCCTGTTTGTCCTATGTAGAGAGCCGAAGGGCATTGTTGGCACTTGATGGCATATACAGTATTAGAAGATGAGCAAGTGAATGAGCCTCTGATGGTGTAGCTGCCGTTGTTAGGTCCAGTGGTTGTGTTGTCTGGGTGCATGCGGCAGCAAAGCTTCAAGTAGGGTTACCAAGTACCTACCTTCGAATCGACGGGGGACACATGGATCCCGGCTGGAACATCCCTCTGTGTAACACACACACCCCCGCCGCACCATGCCGTCGCCCAGACGCGACGCCAGCACGCTGGGCACGTAGCTGGGCAGCGCTCTGGCAATGGAGCTGGAAACTCAAGTTTCCAGCTCCATTGCCAGAGCGCCGCCCAGCTACGTGCCCAGCCTGCTGGCGTCGCGTCTGGGCGACGGCATGGTGCGGCGCGTTTGTCTTCCGCACGGGAATGTTCCTGACAAGAAGTAGGTGTCCCCCGCCGATTCGAGGTAGGTACTTGGTAAGCCTAGCTCCAAGTGGCGCACTTTATGTCAAAGCAGTAAAGTGTATTTATTGACCAAAAAAAAAAATGTAATCTGCCATTCTGCCCTTACAAGGGCCACTAAAGGCAGCCAACAGTTTAAAACGTACGAGATAAAAGACGTTTAGGCGTAATAAGCATGTTGGTTTTCTCCCAAATTTCCTTTTCCCGGAAGCTTTACATCACGAGTACGTGGGGCAGAGGAGAGACGGGGACAATGGAGGCGCGCTCGAGGCAGCTGTATTCTCAGCTGAAGATGCTGGGGAAAGCCTGCTTCATGGGGTGGGGGTGTAAATACACAGGGTTCTCTGCTCACTGCCGAAGAAGAGTAGTGTAAGGTCGCCGTGGGGGTGGGGGAGAGCAACCAGGGCTAGGGAACGGAGAGCCAGGTTGGGGGAGTGGTCGTAGGCGAAGGAGGCCCAGGTTCGGATCTCCGCTCCTGTCACAGAAGCTTGCTGGGTGGCTTAGAGTGAATCGCTCATGGTAAGCCTGACCTCCTTCATGGGGTGGCTGTTTGTGAGGGTAAAATGGAAGAGGGGAGAATGAGGCCAGCCCTTTTGGGGGGTCCCTCTTGGAGAGAAAAGTGAGGTCTAAAAGAGTAAAATATGTGGTGGGTGGTGCATGTGAAGAGTTAAAATCCACTAGTCACTCTTTGTCACCCTTTGTCAAGAGCCAGTTTGGTGTCGTGGTTAAGGGCGCGGTCTCTAATCTGGGAGAACCGGGTTTGATTCCCCACTCCTCCACTTGCACCTGCTGGATGACCTTGGGCAAGCCGTAGTTCTGATAAGAGCTGTCCTTGAAAGAACTCTCAGCCCCGCCCACCTCGCAGGGTGTCTGTGGTGTGGAGGGGAAGGGAAGGGAAAGGAGTCTGTAAGCCGCTCTGAGACTCCCGCATGAAGGGCGGGGGATAAGTCCAATTTCCTCTACTACTTCTTCTTCCTCTCCCCCTTTTGCCCCTTTCTCCCAGCATTGGCAATGAATCAGTTTTATCCAGAAGGTGGTCATAAGAGGCCCTAAAGCCAAAGGAATGCCTGTGACGGAGGGCTGCACCTGGCCAAAATTCCTCATCCAAGAGCTTTCACAAACACCTTCCTGCAGACTCTTTTCTTTCAGTCACGCCTCTTACTGCTTCCATCTTTTCTCCATTAATTTTTTTTTAGCGTTAAACTGAGCAGATCTTTTAAAAAGATGACTGGGTGAGGAGTGTGACAGTTCTGGCGTGCAAAGCTGGTATTGATAGAACAGAAAACCCAATAAATTATTAGCTTTTTTAAAAAAAATGGATGTTCTGCCTGGGTTGAAGATCTTTGCCATCTGTGGCCCTTCAGAAGGGCCCTCACATGCCATGTCCCTTGGATTCTGTATGGTGCCAGCCACCAGGGTCCCTTTTTTGTTGTGCTTTTTTTTTTTTTAAACTGTAGGTGCAAGTGTTAACCATGACGGAAATGCCGATGCCATGGTAAAGCAGATTCCACCAAACCCTCTTCACAACCTCTTGCCTGATCGTGATGCGAATAGCCCGAAAGCTGATAAAGAAGTCGTAAGGCAAGCTTCAAAGGACAGAGTCAGTGACTTCCAGAGGATGAAGCAAAGTAAGTTGGCCTGGAGCATCATAACTGCATGCATGCTCTGAATTACCTAAATGTGAGTGTTATATTGTTTACTGGAATGCCAGAGTATAGCACAGTAAAACATGTGGGGAAAGCATTGCATTTGGTAGATGTGTGGGGTGAGATGAGTTCTTTTTTTTAAAAAAAAATTCTGGTTGCTGTACAGATCACCTTACTCTGAAAGATCTTACTTAAAAAAGAATACTTCCCCCATAGCTGCTGCTGTAGGATGCACTTTAGAGGGAGGGACCACGCAGCACCCGGCCTTTGGGCTGTTCACTTTGGCTTGCGGGGATGTCAGTTCAAATGTGGGACTGTCGCTGCCACAATGAATGAACCGTGTAAATGTTGCAGATAAGCCTGGGGAAGGAGATCCCTGCAGGGGGTGCTGCGCGGTGTGGTGGTACAAAGCTGGATTTTTGGGGGTATGTCTGGAGAAACAGCGTTGAGTATCTTTGATACCCAAGTCAGAATGAGGGGCGCAAATGAGTTCCGCGAGCCTGGTGTTCCTTGCACCTGGAAGAGGGGTGAGATTTAGGATTAAGGGGATTAAAACAGGTTTGAGGCATGTGCGGAAGGATACTTTAAAATACCTCTCGAGTGTCTTTCACCTCCTAATTGAGGTTCTCTTTAATCTTATTAAACAGGCAAGTTGAACTGCAAGGATTGTAGGGTGTGAACTGAAGCCTTTTAAGAGCATCCACATGCAGGTTTGCACCAGTTTAGCTCCCTTGTGTGCATTTTAATGGTAAATAGTAATGCCTTTTTAAGTCATTGGGGGTGGGGGGGGATGAAAACGGTTTTGGTAAAGATGGTGTATATTCAGCATAAGCTTGTATGCTTAAATGGATTTATTTAGGCCATAATGTGTTTGGAGTGAACATAGACAGATGAAAAGTGTATAGTGCAGTGTGGTCCAAAAACATTAATACAACCAGATTGACTCTTGGCTAGAGATGTGAAGGCCTGCAAAAGAACATTAAATTTTTTTTTTAGGGGGGAGTTCCTCCCCTCTTTTTCCCCAAGGCCTCTTTTTTGGTTTTTCAGGTGGAAAATTGGAAATTTTGGGGAGTACTGAAAAAAACCTCCTGTGAAATAGTTTCTCTTTTAGAATGAGAGAAATGCTTTATGTGTTCTCAACCCCCCCCCCCGAAGCCTATAAATATCATTGGACAAACCAATATCATTATCAGTATCTGGTTTTACTTCTTTTGTTTTTATTTTTGGCAGTCTCTTTTAATTTTAATAAAAAACAAAATTGCATTTTTCAATTAAAAACATGTCTGTAATATTTGTTCATGTCATGCGGCTCTCAGACATCGGACGTTTATTCTGCGTGGCTCTTACGTTAAGCGAGTTTGGCTACCCCTGCCGTAGACATCCAGCTCTTAAATCCAAGATGCGCTTCTGCACCTAGAAGGATACCTCATCTTCATGAGGGGAGCATGCAGGGCTTTCATTGCGTCTCAGCAGTTGCGTGCCTCATGTTGTCCTTTTGACCCGATGTGGCCTCTAACCAGGTAGCAAAAATTAAGATACGTGTGCTAAGATAGCTGACGGGTGAGGACAACCACGGCTTCCACCAAGACTGCTCTCTCTCCCTCCCTGTCGTGTTGTGCTTCCTTTTTATGTGCCCTCGTATTTGACTGTAATAGCATTGCCGAAAGCTGTACCTGGTAGGGCTCCCCCCACCCCAGACGTACTGTGGCCATAGTTAGGGTTTCTGCATAGGTCTCTGCACCATGCACCGTGTAAGCCGCTCAGAGCCCTTCGGGGGGGTGAGCGGGGTACAAATTGTGAAAGTGTAAATATATAAATAAAATATAAATTTAATCATTTAATTTATGGCTATGTAGTTATCCACTCTGAGCCCTGTTGTACAGGGGAGGGTGGGCTATAAATCAATAAATAAGGCACATCAAATTGCAGTTTTTCTCTCAAGTATTGTGTGTATGTGCAATTTTGCTTGTACAAAACTAAGGCATGTGCAACTTCTAAATTCTATAAATATGTCAAGTATTGCAATTTTATGTGCTCAGTAAGTTATAAATGCTGCATTTTGTTACTAAGGCAGTAAAATTTCCTTGTTTTTAGAAAAATAGTGTTTTTTTCTGTCGCTTCAAAATTTCTGGAGATTTTGCATCTCTACTCTTGACTGATTATTAGCTCTGTTGTTTTTGTTGCTTGCTTGCTTGCTTGCTGCCAGGGGCTTTAAAGGCCTGTGGAGAGCTACAGCAGCAGGTTTGAGGATATATTAAGTTAACTGGGGTGTGTGTGTGCAAAAAGTCAGCCAGTTTCTGGTGTCAGTGCAGCAAAGAGCACTATGTTAAAAGGACACACTTCACAGAAAGCTTGTGAAAAACATCTGTTCCAGTTGGTGGATTGTTGTACAATGGAAAGCTGTTTAAGAGTATATTGTTTTTCATGTTTTTATCCCCCTCCCCTTCCTCCCAGGAGCTCAGGATGGCATAGTTCTTTCCTCTTCCATTTTACTTAAATAATAACCCTGTGAGGTGTGATTTGGGGGTGGGGGGTAGCTGTGTTGGTCTGAAGCAGTAGAATGAAGTTTGAGTCCAGGGGCGCCTCTAAGACCAACAAAGTTTAATTCTGGGTGCGTGCACACGAAAGCTTATACCCAGAATAAAACTTTGTTGGTCTTAGAGGCGCCACTGGACTCAGACTTCCTTCCTGTGAGGTGTGTTAGGCTGAGAGAGTGTGGCTAGTTGTAGCTGAAGATCTCCCCGTAAGCTTCATGGCTGAGTTGAGATGTTCTGAGAAGTTTTGTTTCAAAGAAATACTTGCTGATTTCAAAACAAAACACCTGCACGTTTCAGTGGTGAGGCTGCACAAAGTCATTGAAAGCTTTTCTTAATTTCTGTGAGATGTTGCATGTTGAAAGCTTCCTAATGTGGTCTTTTACTGTAGTGTTCTGATAACAGCCAGCTGTGCTTTTGGTAACTTTTGTTTTGTTGTTCTATAAACCTGTAAGCCAAGGCTATCTTATTATCCAAGCTGATTAAGCTAAGCTCTTGGGTGCCTTTTTATAACACTTAGCAATTTTTATAACTTCTATAGGCACAAAGATCATCCTGATGAATCCACAAAGAAACAATGAAAGCCGTTTTGTAATGCCCTTTCTATTCAAGTTGGGAATATTTGAGTGTTGCGTTGCTTGCTTTAAATACTCCTTGGGAATAAAAAATTGATTGGAGTGTGCTCTTATGAGGCAGATTATTTTCATGTTAAGAGAGCTGTTGTTAAGTTCCATAAGTGCCTTTTCCACGGGCTTAGGCGAAGCAGGTCTGGCAGCAAAGGTAGGCATACTTGGGCGCCTGCCACCGTTTGGACAAGGGCCCTCTCCTCAGTAGAGACACTTGGCCCATTCACTCCCACCAGGAAATGGGAGACTGCGCCAGGAGCGCCTGCAAATCTCCCGTTTCCCCGTTGTCGGGGCACTGGGGGGGCGACAGCAGGCCTGCCCTGCCCACTCTGCAGGTCCTTGTAGAAGAAGAAGAAGAAGAGATTGGATGTATACCCCATGGCCCTTCACTACCCAAAGTTATCTCAGAGCGGCTTACAAACTCCTTTCCCTTCCCCTCCCCACAACAGACAGACACCCCTGTGAGGTGGGTGGGGCCGAGAGAGCTCTTGACAGAAACTGCTCTTTTTCAAGAACAGCTCTTATCAGAACTACGGCTTACCCAAGGTCATCCAGCAGCTGTGAGTGGAGGAGGAGTGGGGACTCAAACCCGGTTCTACCAGATTAGAGTCCGCGCACTTAACCACTGCGCCAAACTGGCTCTGGGAGGTTATTCTTGAGGTGAAAGGGTGCTGAAGGAAAACACTGGAGCACGACCCGTTCTATGCTGCTTGAAGCCCCGTTGATGCCGATGAGGCACAAGCGGAGGTCCACCCAGCTCCCCTGTCTTTTGAGGTCGCCAGCTGAGCCAGGGAGGAAGCCTCCTGTCCTTTGAATAGAGGCTGAATGAGCGGAACTGGGTGGTTGAACCTTTCATGGCATGACGTTAAATATCAGCGGCTGACAGCCGTTAAAGGGGCAGCTGGATGGGCCAGTTTAAAAGTCGGTCACCCTGCTGAGAGTAGGAAAGGGGGTATCTGGCGCACGTGCCGGACGAGGGTCTGGGAGCCCTGGGTTCAGATCTCCCCGCCCCCTCAAAGCCTGCTGGGGGACCTTGGGCTGTTGGTTCTCTGTCCACCTGACCCGCCTGTTGTGAGAGCCAGATGGGGGGAGGGGGGGACTCGTGGGCGCTGTCCTCTGAGTCCCTTGGGGGAAGGTGGGATAAAGAGAGATCCTGGTCCAGAGGAGGAGGTCCCAGGGCAGCTGCCGGGGGGACCAGCACAGGGTGGTCATGTTCTGTCTGGCTCTCTGTAGCCCCGCTGGCGCTGATGCCAGGGGAGGAGAGTGGGATGTGCGCTCAAGTGCACGCCAGGGGGCGGGCGGAGTAGAGGAGCGTGAGGCCCTGGTGTGGTATGCTTAGTGAAGAAGCCTAGGCTGCTCCAGCACCTGGAACCCGTTTTGAAGCCAGATCGCCCGAACATGTGCAGTTTGTAGTCCGTGGCCATGCAGGTAGGGTGCTGTTTACTTCACTGCATGTTGCCTCTTCCCCTCGTGGGGATCCAAAGCCACCTAACCTCATTCTCCTCCTCTGCTCCGCTCCATCCCCACAGCCGCCCCCGCCGCCCTGTGTGTGCAGCTGGCCCGATGTCGCCCAGTGAGCCTCTCTGGAGGAGTGGAGATTCGAACCCCAGTCTTCCACACGCTGGCCTAACGCACTCGCTGCCACGCCACGCCTCACTGGCTCTCTCTGTCAAATACAGCATCAAGTGGGCAACCATGTTAGTCTGTAGTAGCAGGGACAGCTTTCAAGCCCAGCAGCCCCTTAAGTACCCACGGGATTTTTGCAGGGTGTAAGCCTTTCAGGAGTCAGAGCTAATTTTATCAGATACAAAACATGAGCGAAGCTTCAGCAGCCCTTCTAGCCAGGTCAGAAGGTGAAGGCGCGTTACAAAGCGGGGCCAGTTGGGGTCAGGATGCAGAGGTACCATGCAAAACATAATCAGGCTGATCGGAGCCAGGAGAGATCCGTAGAGGTAGGAAATACAGAAAATTAGCATCTGCAATCAGATAAGAATCCTGTGTGCTTGTCCAGTCCGGGGGCAGGAGCATTGTCCTGTCCTTGATAAGGAGTTCTAGTTCAGCTATCTCACGTTGAAATCTTCCTTTGAAGCTTTGTAGGAGAACTGCCAGACATAGGTCAGCAGTAGTATGTCCTGGAAAATTAAAATGTTTCTCACCGGTTTCGAGTATTGTTTTTTTAATGCCAGATTTGTGTCCATTTATTCTTTTGTGTAGGGATTGGCCTGTTTGTGCAGTGTAGAGAGTAGGAGGGCCTTGCTGACACTTGATGTCATCTGTTGTTGGGAAATGAGCAAGTGAATGAGCCGGAGATGGTGTGGCAGGCGTTGTCAGGTCTGATGTTTGTGGCGTTGGACTGCATAAGGGGACGAAGCTGCTTTGTTAACAGGTTCTGGTCTCGAGGTTAGGGAGCTGCATGTGTGCAAGAAAATGCCTGCCTGTGAGAGGAATATCACTATCCAGCATAGGTTGTAGTTCATTAACGATGAATTGGGTTGAGTTATGAACTGTATGTGACCATCAGCGGTGTTCTGTTTTGTGTTGCCGATATTTGTAGCACATTATCCCTATGGGTACCATTCTGGCTTTGTCAGTCTTGGTTCCTGACTGCGTCAGGTGGATCCCGTAATTCCAAAAATGTCTGTTGTGAATCCCTCAGGTGAGACTGGGACAGATGTAGTTGTAGCATACAGCTTGGGTGTGTTCAGGCTGGTAACTGGAGGCATATAGGGGTTTGTTTTGTTGTGATTGACAAACATCCACATGCCTAATCTCTTTAGATTCACCCAGATTATATTGAACTGTTCTTGGAATCCTGAACTTTTAGGGAGCGGTCCTACTCAGAAGCCCTATTTTATTCAGTGGGGTTTATTCTCAGGAAAGTTTTCTTAGGGTTGCAGTCGACAGCACGCAAGTATAACTTCAGAGATTCCCCCATGTGGCTCAAGGGTTATGGAAGAATTCCTGGGACTAGATTAACAAAACATGCTCTGGAATCAAAGGAGACTGCCAAGGTGTCCATTATTCCAGTTATGTGTGCATTTACAGAAGAGAGAAGAAGAGATTGGATTTCTACCCCACTACCCAAAGGTGTCTCAGAGCGGCTTACAAACTCCTTTCCCTCCCCTCCCCACAACAGGCACCCCGTGAGGTGGGTGGGGCTGAGAGAGCTCTTGACAGAGACTGCTCTTTTTCAAGGACAGCTCTTATCAGAACTATGGCTTGCCCAAGGTCATCCAGCCAGGGGCAAGTGGAGGAGTGGGGAATCAGACCCACTTCTCCCAGATTAGAGTCCGCGCACTTAACCACGACACCAAACTGGCTCTCCAAATAGGCAAGTATGAGATTCCTTTTAGCATATCCACTTATGCAGACTTCTGGCCATTGGTACAGCCTGATGTATCAACCACTTACAGCCTTTTAAAACTCATCAAGTGTTCTGTGGGGGAAAGAATCACAGCTTCATGGGTCAGGGGTGACTTCCAAAGTGAAGAGCTGCCAGATTTGATGTGTTACACAGGCACTGAAACAAGCTTTGTAAACTTCCTTTCATGCAGCCTGGAATTACTTCCTGCAAAAATTATTGACCGTAGTTCTTCAGTCACAGCCAGGGGGAAGTTGCAGAAATAATTATGAAACTCTTTATTTAACTCTTCTTTGTATTTCATGTGGCAAGAGTTCCTAGAAAGTGCTTTACATAAAACTTACTGTCGAATACCCACTACAACTTTCATTCTTATTACGTGTGTGTGAGAGAGGGATGGACTGGCAACCAGTGCTCCCTCTAAGCTACGGAGTCCTGTGAGCAAAAATTCCACTTTGTGAGCCACTGGCATTAAAGTTGTGAGCGAGTGATTTGGCTGCTGCATCAATGAGTTTGCTCTGGAGCCCTCCTTCCTGAATGGAGACAAGAATGTGTGAGCTGGAGGCTAAAAAACTGTGAGCTAGCTCACACTTACTCAGCTTAGAGGGAACACTGCCGGCAACCAACCTCTTAGTGCTTTAATGGAAGTGTCCAGTTTACAGTGCCTTTTTCTGGAAGCTTTGAAGATTCTGCAAGTTTTTGTCTTCTGGAAGTATCATCAGCTTCTTTTTGTTATCAGCAGCACTCTGCAGATTCCTGTCCCAGGGCGACCATTTCTGTCTGCAACCGGCACAACACTGATTCTTGCTCTTTCTTGGTCATGTGTGTTAACCTGTGCATCTTTCTATTGTCCCATTGTAGAACTTCTCTTCACAGGGTTAAGTGATGAAAGACTGCATTTACAGCTAAGAATTTTAGCATTTTCCAAGTGGAAAATAACTCTATTAAGAAGTACTATTTGTTTAATAATTACAATGATCAAATCTCACTAAAGGATCCGAAACCTCTGTAAAAGTTGATCAATAGAAGTCCAGGTGTGCTTAGATTGACTAAATGTCTTCTGAAAATTCAGTCCCAGTGGGATGCTTGCCTCTGTTTGCAGAGAGCGCTTTTAAGGCCTAAAATGACAAGGAACAACTGTTTGATACGGAGAACCTTCAGATGCCTTCCTTCCTTCCTTCCTTCCTTCCTTCCTTCCTTCCTTCCTTCCTTCCTTCCTTCCTT